TGTCTGAATGATCCTTTTCTCAATTTGGGAATTTTGGCCTGAAATGGAATTTCGATAGCCAGAAATTGCCTCTTTTTTGTCCCTGAAATATGATGAATCCGACCGTTCATTATACGCGAGGTTTGGCTTGAATGGAGTTCTTGACCTTGGGGTCGTGATGTGTCCATTCTCAAGCCGATCGAGTGTGTAGTTGTCATGATTCGATCATTTGATCAAAGGGACTTTAAAATTTCTTAGAACTTTTACTTTTTCCATAGTGATCTTCTCTCTTCGATTTCTCTCGGCTCAGGCTACGCAGTCAGACGAGCCATATATCAAAACAGTCGAGCGAACGAGATGAACATCCTCTCAAAGTTAGGGCTTATTTTGCCCCTGGATGAGGGAGATACCATCATAGAAAGTTCAGTCTGAAATTGGAGAGCATAGTTTCCATAAGTGGAAGCTGGTTCTCCGAGGATGCACCAAGATTGGGTGCGGCGTACCCATTTTTAGTAAGTTCGCCATAAGTTGGTTCAAGGGTGTCCAAATGGCCCGAAATTTGGTATCGGGGGGTTTTCAAACTTTCTAAATCCAACGGATACGATCTGGTGGTCATTTGAAGCTCAAAAAATATGGTTGTAGTTACGGGGTCTCTTTTTAGCATGATAGAGGCAGAATTCTGAAAACGGATTTGGCATTTGATCCACTTTAGTCTCGTCGAATTATGACAAGACTTAGCGGACGTTCTTGGGGGACCCTTAGCCACGTTTAAGCAATTTTGAGACCATCAGAGGGGTATTCTCAGCATAAGGGCTTATTGGCCTACTGCCTCCATAGTCCACAGGTATTCTGGGTTCCTGTGATCTTAGGTTGCATACTGCTCTCTTCTTATACGAATCGGGGATAACAAGTGTCGTAAAATACACTTCAACAAAGAGGTATCCTTAAACCTTTGTAGTTAGGTTGTTTGGTTAAAACCAAAGAATACCGTAACCAACTCTATCTCATTGATTGCTGATAATCAACTTAAAGCTTCAACCGATATAATCCAAACCTTCACAAGTGGGCTGTTGTAAGAAAATAAAAACCAAATCATAACGTGCGAAACGAGTGATGACGTTAAAAGCAATATCGGTTAAAAGCAACATGGAACAATGCAATATGGACGATGACTCAAAAAGCTCTTCCATCAGATCTAAATGGTCTAAATTGCTAAAGACCTTAAACTTACCCTAAACCAATCCAATATAGATGATGATTCTAAAAGCTCCTCCATTAAGTCTAAACGGGTGAAAACCTTAAACTTTACCCTAAATTAGTCCAATATGGGTGATGATTATAAATGCTCCCCTCCCAAGTCTAAATAGAGTGAAGACCTTAAACTTACCCTAAACCAGTCTAATATAGGGTGACGACTACAAAAGGTCTAAACAGGGTGAAGACCTTAGACATTGACTCTCAAAGTTCCCCAACCATGTCTAAAGAGGGTAATGACCTAAAGGTTACCTTTAGGGCCTGTTCGGGTATATGGATTTTAAGGCATGGATTTTTAATATATTGGATTTTGTCAAAATCCACCATTTTGGATTGCTTAATGACCAAGATACTTAAAATCAAGAAAATCAAAATCATGAAAATAAGACTTACTTTTCGATGATTTCATTTCCACACCAAAACCTATTTTTTTGCATTTTCAAGGCCCATGGATGTCACTCATTCGCTTCCTCGACCCGAAACATAGGGAGCATTTGGTAGGTATGAAAATTTTAGAAAGAGAAAGTACCTAAATTTTTTAAAGAGAGAATCTATCTCAAAATTTTTAGAGAGAGAAAGTATGTTAAATTTTTAGAGAGAGAAAGTATGTAAAAATTTTAGAGAGAAAAAGTATGTTAAAATTTTAAAGAGAGAAAGTACCAAATTTTTTTCGAGAGATGAACTATCTCAAAATTTTAGAGAGAGAAAATATCTCAAATTTTAACTGTTAGAGAGAGAAAGTATGTTAAAATTTTAGAGAGAGAGGTACCAAATATTTTAGAGAGATTAACTATCTCAAAATTTTAGATAGAGAAACTATCTCAAATTTTAACTTTTAGACAGAGAATATGTTAAAATTTTAGAGAGAAAAAGTATATTAAAATTTTAGAGAGAAAGTACCAAAAAAATTTAGAGATAAACTATCTCAAAATTTTAGAGAGAGAAACTATCTCAAATTTTAAGTTTTAGAAAGAAACTATCATATTTTAGAGAGAGAAAGTACATGTAAATTTTTAGAGAGAGAAACTATCTCAATTTTTTAGAGAGAAAATATTTCAAAATTTTTAGAGAAAAACTATATCAAATCTTAAGTTTAGAGAGAGAAAGTATTCTTAAAATTGTAGAGAGAGAGAGTATTCTTAAACTTTTAAAGATAAATTATTAAAAATTCTAGAAAGAGAAACTGGCAAAAAAAATTTAGAGAGAGAAATATCTCATTTTTTAGAGAAAAAATATCTTGAATTTTGAGTTTTAGAAAGAATCTATTTCGAATTTGAAATTTTCGAGAGAGAAAATATATTAAAATTTTAAAGATAAAAATTATATCAAATTTTAGAGAGAGAGACTACTTAAAACATTTTAGGGATAGAAACTATCACAAAATTTTTGGAGAGAGAAACCTTCACAAAATTTTTGTTTTAGAGAGTATTTTAAAATTTTTGAAAGATAAACTATATCAAATTTTAGATAGAGAAAGTACATTAAATTTTTAGAGAGAGAAACTATCTCAAAAAAAATTAGAGAGGCTTTCTCAAAATTTAAATTTTAGAAAGAGAAAGTATCTCAAATTTTAAACTTTAGAGAAAGGTATACCAAATTTTAGAGACACTATCAAATTTTAAAGAGACTATTTCAAAATTTTAGAGAGAGAAACTATCTCAAACTTGAAATTTTAGTAAGAGCGCATCTTAAAATTGAAGATAGTAACTATATCAAAGTTTAGAGAGAGAAAGTACATAAAAAATTTTAGAAAAAGAAACTATCGCAAAATTTTTAGAGCGAAATTATCTCAAATTTTAGCTCTTAGAAATAGAAAGTATCTTAAAATTTGAGAGAACTATATCATATTTTAGAGAGTAAAACTACTTAAAAATGTTTAGAAAGAGAAACTATCTCAAAATTATTGAAGAGGGAAACTATCTCAAGTTTTAAGTTTTAGAGAGAGAGTATCTTAAAATTTTAAAAAAAGAAACTATATTAAATTTTAGAGAGTAAAGCACCTTAAAAATTTTAGAGAGAGAAATTATCTCAAAATATTTAGATATAAATAATTTCAAATTTTAAATTTTGGATAGAAAGTATATTAAATTTTAGAAAGAGAAACCATATCAAATTTTAGAGAAAAAAACTATCTAAAGAATTTTATAGATACACTATCTCAAATTTTGAGTTTTAGAGAGAAAGCATGTAAAAATTTTAGAGAGAGAAATTGTATCAAGTTTTGTTACGAAACAATGGACATGGAAGTGATTGTACGAAATCCATGAATTTTTTATAGTTTATCCAAACAAGAGATTCAAAAAATCCATGACAAAAATCCTTGATATTGAAAATCTATAAATTTTCTTAAGATTTCAAATATCTAATATTCCTAATTTCCTCCTATCCAAACGGACCCTTAATTAATCCAATTTAGTTAATAACTCGGACCATCCACACTATTCCGTCATGTTTATATCCTGACCGGTACATATTGTTTCTCAAAATGGACTTAGGCTATCCCGTTATGGCAATGCACAGCGTGGTCAGTACATAATTTTGTACAACGCCATATCATCTTTAGATTCAATGCGTCGGATAAGATTCTCTCATATAATAGTTATCCTTTCAATAATTACTCAATCGAAAATTACTTTATGAGGGCTAAACCGCATTTCTACAATATGCGGTTTTAAGGTATAAAGCTTCCATCTTAAAGATGGATGCAAAATATGTAGTCTATTTAAAAACAATTGAAACTAACAGTCGAAATATTTTCTTAATAGAATTATTATTTCTAATTATCAAATTTTATTTATTTTTTCATATTCATGATCTCTATGTTAAGAGATTATATGTCCTTAAAAATTTAGTCAAAAATTCCATCACAAAAATAGGTTTTTAAGAGGTGACTCGTTTCTACATGGACTAATAAAAACCATGTCGAAAATTTATAGACCACTTTAGAAACCAATTTCTTATTGACTAGAGATATTCAACGGCCTATAACCGAGAGTATATGGACTAGCAGAGGTGTTCTACAAGACAATAAGCAAAGCCTTGAAGAAGATGTTCTCAAAATCTAACATGCTCCTTGAATCGAAAATTAAGGGACTGTTTTGACATGCAAGAATGGGAAGGTGTCATCTCTTGCACCATAGTGGTAAATTTGCAAATTGAACTTGCAGTGATTGGAAGTGCCCCACACATGTTTATAGGTAGGTTAGCATGTTTCACATGGACTTCATCTCCATCACCTAAATGAGATGCCAAACATCAGGAAGTAACCCCAAAAATAGTTCAGGTGGTCGACTCCATGATCAAAGCAAACGTACCTGCTGAACTTATATGTTCTTGTTTATCTTTCAGGGCAGGGCAGGGCAGACCTCGAGCTAATGGCGCCCACTTCATCTGCATTATGTTCTTTTTTACAGTATATTACATGTTTGCCAAGAAAGACAAACGAAAACAGAAAAAAAAATTGGGGCAAAGAAAAATTTTAACTATAGAAACATAATGCCATCCGTCTGTCTCATCATATTGTATGCACCCTGACAAATCGCTACTGCTGCTGAGAACGAATTTACATATCCCGACTTCAAATGACATTGTCTTTTCATGTAATATTACGGAGGTAAAACTAAGTTGCAATATTAGAGAACACCCAAGGACAAGGAGGCTAACGCCTAACATATAGAAACAAGCACTACAGGTAAATACTCCTAACATTAAGAAACAAGCATTACAGGTAAATACTCCTAACATTAAGAAACAAGCACTACAGGTCATACTTGCAAAAGGCGTTATTCATAAATTTATGAAACTGAAAATGGGTCGGTCCTGGACATGCAGATTGTGTTACAAACCTGTAATTTTATCAACATGCTGTTTTCCCTTTTTCTCAAACATCTAACCACTGGAACCATTCTAGAAAATGACAAGCAAGGCATATGAAAGTCAAAGGTACCTAATCATTGATGACAAACCATTCATAGAAAAATCACAAAGCTGCCAAGTCAAACTGGTCGTTCTTGGATGATACAAAAATGCAAAAGCTATGAAAATGTCACAGAACTTTTAAGATACTCCTTCCACTGATTTCTTTGAATTATTCTTTCGCCGAGTTTTTACAAGAGCTTTCTCCAAATCCTGAATAATTAAAGGAAATCATTTATGGTTAGAGATCTAGTGCTGTTATCGAATAATGCTCAAAGGAAACAATAATCACTAACAATGTTATCTTTCCATTACTGTTGCCATTGCTGTACTATAACTACGACACTTTTTAATACGAAGTATAATAATGACCCATAAGATCATAGAAAATGTATGGTTATAAGTGACTGTCCAATCAACCAGTGGACCATGATGGAAAAAGAGTCAACCAACGACTTGGGTCATGACATGTTCTGGTCCATTCCACTTGATTCGATGGTCATAAAGATCTAAGACCATAGCATACGTTTCCCTCATCCATAAAAATATAAATGCTTTGGAGTTTGGAGAGCAAAGTAATTCTGCCTGTTTGACTTTTTGACAGAACACACCGTCAAGCTATGTCAAACTTGTCATAGGCATTAAATTTTTTTTGTGAATTTCCCAAAGTTTTTTTGTTTTTATGGATGAAAAATTCACAACAAAACAAACAAAAGGATTCTAAAAAGTCTGTATTTCAGGTAGATGTCCCGCATTCCCAGGTCCAAGAAACAGCATCTAATCTTACAAAGGAAATGTATACAATAAGATTATTTACTTTTGGTGCAAAGAAGTAACAATCATTATCTACCGTTAGATGTGAAATTGGATGGCTTGGGGTGTAACATTGATTGGGAACAAAGTTCAAAATAGAACTTCTTGAACCATCTGTCACTCTAAGCTATCACATATCACATCCAATGGCTCAGGTTAATTTTGATCTCTTTGTACCAAAAATGAATGGTCTTATAATATAGAATCCCTTCTACAAAACCTTCAACCATAGTAGCTGTCACAAAAAATTTCAACAATTGCACATCTCATGAGGGGCATAAAACATTAAATGGGAAACACAAATTTCTCTTGATCCAAAAATAAGGAAATCAACAAATAAACTCTATCTAAACAAAGGGAATTATGTTGAACAAAGTTTCCCTTTTGTAACTGCAAAGAAAAGACCAAGTCTATATCCAAACTTAACATTTAAAAGAAACAATTATATGATATTTCTTTTGTAATACTTGTGATGTTTATGATTCTATCGTCTAAAATATGGGTAGCAATACCAAGTACTCACATAGAATTGGTATTCAAATAGAATTGGCTAATCATTGATATCAATTAGAATCAAAGGAATCCACATAGAGCCTAGTATGAGAGTACACCATGGAGATGAAATACCTACCAAACAAATTAGATATAGGATATTTGTGTATATTATTTCTATTTACAAGACAAATATAAAGGGAGAAAGTGGAGCACATGATAGGGAAAGCAACTAAGAAGGGATGGGGAACCATCATCATCATCCGAGCCTTGTTACAACTATTTACAGTCAGCTACACGAATCAAGTTCAATATATTTGATTTGCCTAAACATCTCATTTACGCATTGTCCTGATAAAACTTAGATGCAAAACATCTCTCTAAAAAGATCAGTTACAAATATTATCCAACGTTACCTAAATTATTATAGAGTTATAAATTCAAGAAAACTCTCTGTGACGTGTTAGCCTTAAACGTTTTCTCAACAAAGCACATATTAAGTTTATCTCAACATAGCACCTACGTCTCTCTCTATCTCTCTGATTAGCTATCATATCTAGTTGAATGTCGCATGTACTACCCATAATTGTGATGTAATCCATATACCATAATATACACAAAAACTATGAGACATAGAAGCTCAGGTACAAATTTGTTCATTCCACATGGATTCAACATCAATAATAAGAATAAGGACGGACTAGGAAGCAAATCCAGATCATTCATTTAAATTGAGAAGCAAACAGCAAAAACCACCCTAAGTAAAACATTTGAATTACTAAGGGAAACATTTGAATTACTAAAGGCCTGTCCAATAACTGGAACAAGATGTTCTCTGGAAAGTGGAAGTTCTGAACCTCTAGAAGCTGGATAACTTGATGTCTGGAGCTGACAAATATTGTGTTTGATAACCTGTCTAGAATTTTAGGGAGGGGGGAACCCATTTTCGATTGAACATGAGATTATGGAAACCTGAAAATTTGAAAATTAGATAATTTTAACCATGCATTGAAGTTTTTATCATGAGATAGTGATATGATATTTGTTCACTGACAGAGACTTTAAAAGCATAGATCATCCATGGTATGTTTAACAAAACGTACGATCTAGATTGCATACAAAAGAAAATAATGTAGTTATATGTCATCACAAAAAAGATGGTTGAGAGCATGTTTGATTATCTCGATTTTTATTTTTTTCTATATACTAAATTGAGCAAAACTTTTAGCCATCCGTACTTCTCACCCTCATGCACCTTTCAAATAGTATGAAAAACTATTGACTTGGTATGCTCTGAGACCATTTATCTTTGTTATGGTGGTCACAAATATTATTACCCAGTGGATGTAAAATTGGATGGCTTGGAGTGTGACACAAAGCTCTAGAAATGTTTATGTTGAATTTTGAACCTAATCAATGACGCACTCACAACCAACCGATTTGAATCCAACTGACACAATTGATTGTGACCTCCTTGTACCAAATGTAAATGATCTCTTTGTATAATTTTTCAAAAAATAAGATGGCCAAAATACCCCTTAAATTTTGAGGGCAATTGTGTGGTTTTTTTTTGAATTATTTTTAAAATTTTTTACAAATCTGTTTGAATGAAGTGCATACACACTCCAAATTACATCTCGATCTAAAATTAAGAAAAAATAAAAATGAATGACTATAAGGCCAACATTTTAATGGACAAAATGGTCCACATTGTAGTTCACCTAAAATTTGATCGGACACTTAATAACCTATCTAGTTATTCAGAAAAGAAATTTGTTTTTTTATGTACATAATAATGAGCTGAAATTTGGGGCGTCAATTTTCCTAGCCTAACACACTTACAAAAAATATAAAATAAATAATTTGAAAAAAAAATTAAAATGATCAAAACACTGCGAAATTTTCAGGGGTATTTTGGTCATTTTTTATTTGCTTAAATCATTGTTTATATTTTCTAAAGGTGCGGCCCAATGAGGCACACAAATCTTCCAAAATTCGTTTAGATCTCGGCTTTCTAAAATAAAAATAAAAAATGTATAGGTAACAAATTAAAAAATGATGCTCAATACATCAGCCATTTCCAAACTTCAGTCTTCCATGAGAGGCATGGAACTGGCGGTATCCACTTTTACGTGGAAATTAAAAGTTCGAGACAAGCCTCCCACAGTAGCATTTCCTGTTATCAAACATGGAAGTGCTATTAAAACTTGGAACTTCTGGTTCCCAAAGCTAGAAGTTCCAGAAATCAAACGTGCCATAAAAGTAAGGTGAGAAATCGCCAGGGCCAAATACAAGATGGTCCGCATGTCAATACAAAGTTCCAAACCAATGCAATAAAAGGCGCCCCAAGGGGTGCCAAGATGTCTTGCCTATAGGCCAAGGTGTTGATTTTTATGAAAATGCATAGCTGCATTGTTTTTATGAAAATGTGTAGCTGCTGACACGATGTAAAACACTCTCAAGTTTAATAAAACTCAAGGAGGGACTACACATAAACAAGATAAATATTAAAGGTTGACTGTTATGGCTGTTACGCTTTTTAAAATGTGTATGCTACAATGTAAAAACACTCTCAAAGTTTAACAAACTCAAGGAAGGACTACACATAAACAAGATAATTATACAAATATAAAAATTAAGGATGCTATGGAACAAAGGCTATAGTAGTCCTCCTAAATTACCTCACTCGTACTCCACAACAAACACAAGCTTAGATGGATAAACTCCAACTCAAAGGTTACACTCTCATTCCATCTCATTCCATCTCATTCCATTAACTTGCCTATTTATAGGCCTTTCAATTAGTTTACAAAACTTATTTGTTATGTGACTCTCACTTGAATAACCACCCACTAAAATACCTACCCACAAACATTGAGAATAACCACCCACTAAGATAACTACAACCACAAACTCATAACTACCAACATAACTACACTTAGAGAGAATACGGAGATATTTACAAGGCTTTCATGTGAACTCCATCTTCCTAAAAATTTGCATCAATCTTCAACATTTCCCTTTAATGCAAAATTTATTTCTTGTTGAATTGCCCATACAAGATTTTCAATAATATTGTTAAGATTTTTATTTTCCTTCTTTAGCGTAAACAATGTGGCTTAAAGACTTTCGATGCGCTCCTTCATTCTAGAAATATGTTCTTCTCTTGCAATCTTCGTAATTTCTTCACCATCATCTTCAATTGCAATATCATTCTTTTTTGCCAATTGCAACATGGCAGAATGAGTTGCACTCATGACAATTCTCTTGCTCCAACTTCTATCTCACAAACAAGAACAGGACTATGATTGGGTTCCTCGATAATTTTTTAATAGGTTGTTCAATCTTTTGCTTTTGGCAAAATTCATGCCCTTGTTTGTTGGTGTAGAATTTGTCATGTGTTATTGATGTCCTTTTTACAAAAATTTCAACAATTAGTTTTCTTTTCAATTTCTTTTTTATGTGTTCAAACACTGGGTGGTGCCTTAGCACTCAGGGGCTCTAGGCCACCTAGGCAGCCCCAAGCCTAGGCAGGATGCCCAAGGGGTGTCCAATAATTATGTTTTAGGTCCAAATTTTGTATAAAAAAAGCATATTCATATATTTTTTATAGTCCAAATAAAAAACAAAACAAGAAAGAAACTAAACACAAAAAACAAAAATACCCCATCCAATGGATATTTTTGCACCTCGGCAGATGCACTCACCTGGGTACCAGCCCAAGTACCTAGGCACCCGCCTAGGCAGGGTACTAAGGGGACACCTAAGGACCCTAGGGAGGGACAACCCACCTAGTTGGTCTGCCCACCTAGGTGCTGGGCAGACCGCTTTTTTAATCAATTTTAAAAGAAAAAAAAAGTTGTTCTTTTGCTTCACTCGACATCCTCATGCCTTCTCATCGCATGGCA